TTCTTTTTTTTTTTTTTTTTTTTTTTTTTGGTACCGGGGATTGAACTCAGGCCTTTGTGCTTGTGAGGCAGGCGGCAGCACCACTGAGCTAAATCCCCAACCCTGTTTTGAAATTCTGATCCTCCTGCTTTAACCTCCTGAGCTGCTAGGGTCACAAGCTTGTACCACCACATCTGGCTTCCATTATTCCTGATTCACGTCACCTTCCACAGCATTTTAATGTCCCACAGCTACTTGTTTTTCACAGTCACTCTTTTCCCGCCATTCCATTGCTCTGGGTGACATTTATACTTAGTGCCTATCTCAGGAAACAATAATGGCAATGTAATGTTATCATTTTTATAAGTTCAAGATTGCAGTGTTCACTTTGAGGATCTCCCACAAAGAACCACATCTGCAGTAAGAATCAGCTTTGAATTAGTGATGTTGTGCTGATAAAGTCATTTGCTGAATATTAGGGTTTTGCTCCTTTTCATTGATTCTATTTTCTCCTCCCCACTTATTTTTTAATTTTTTTTTTTTTTTGGTACCAGGGATCGAACTTGGGACCTTGCTCTTGCAAGGCCGGAACCACTGAGCTAAATTCCCCAGCCTTCACCTTTGCTTTTAGTAGTACTTAGGTTACCAAGTGGATTTAATCTTAGATTTTTTTTTTTTGTACTGGGGCTCGAACTGGGGTCCTTATGCTTGCAAGGCAGGTGGTGGCACCACTGAGCTAAATCCCCAGCCCTAATCTTAGATTTCAATTGACTGTGTCTTGGTATTTTCTCTTTTGAGTGGGAGTTGATCTTGGGAGAGGCAGCATGGCTTCGGGGAAGTAAGCACTGGCTAGTTTTTTTTCTTTGTATTGTAGTTAGGAAGCTGCACAAAACAACCTCCCCCCCCCTTTTTTTTTGCCATACTGGGGATCTAACTCGACCTTGCACTTGTCAGGCAGGCAGTACCACTGAGCTACATCCCCCGCCCTGGGACAGCTTCTCACGTCCTTTCCTATAACCCTGGAGAGTCTGGATAAGTGAGGCAGGCAGTCCACAAGTATCTGTGCACTCCGATTTCATGCTTGCATTGTTTGGGGTGATGAGGAGATAACAATGAATCAATACAAGAAATTTGCCCTCAGAGACAGATAACAAAAATAATAAGGGCCTGACCAGCACAGTACCTTAACTGGGATGGGGAGGGGGCGTGTGCTTCAGTGATGGGTTATCAGAGTTACAACCCAAATGATAAGGAGGTAGCCATGAAAAATCTAGGGAGACATTTTAAGCAAGGATGTATGTGACAATTCAATAGTCCTGAGGAAAGAATAAATTGTGTAGTTATGGGATAACAGGTCAGTGTGAATGGCACTTGGGAATTATTTGTTACTTAAAAGTTCTAAAGAAATCATTGATAACGTCACCTTGAGTAGAATTCACTTGGAAGAGAAGCATTTGATAATGTTTTAAGTTTCTTCCTCTGTTATTGACATATTTTTAGGCAAAATTTAAAGTATATCCAAGAAAATCTATTTCATTCAGATGTAAAACAGTGTTTCACAAGCTGGGCGTGGTGGTGCACGCCTGTAATCCCAGAACTCCGGAGGCTGAGGCAGGAGAATCAAGACCAGCCTGAGCTACACAGTGAGTTCTAGGTCAGTCTCAACTGCATAGTGAGACCCTGTCTCAAAAAAACCAAAAAAAAAAAAAAAAAAAAACCCCAAAAAAACCAAAAAACCAAAAAACCCCAGTGTTTCATGTATTTATTATTCCCACAGAATTATTAAATTGCCTTTAAGTAAGATCTGAATTGTAATATATTCTATTTTATTTCTTGGTTCATTAATTTTGTTTGTTTTCTGAGGCAAGGTCTCCCTTTGTAGTTCAGGCTGGCTCCGAACTTGCTATGTGGCCAAGGCTGGCCTTGAACTCACAGTGATCCTCCTGCCTCAACCTCCCAAGTGCTGGGATTACAGGCATGTGCCATCATACCTGGCTTCATTAATTTTTTTAAAAATCAGTGTTCTTACTACTTTTTCTACTTACTTACTTTTTACTACTTACTACTTTTTCCTTGTAGAGTCAGTTTTTTCCCCTCAGTACTGGAGATTAAGCCCAGTGCCTTTGGTTTTCCCTGCTTTTTTTTTTTTTTTCATTTGTGTGTTTGCTTGCTCTCTGGTGATGGGGGTTGAACCTTGAGCATGCTGGGTAAGTGCCCTGACACTGAACTACATTTTCAGCCTGAACCCAGGGCCTTTGCACTTACCTACATCTGCAGTCCATTTTATTTTGTATTTTGAGTCAGGTTCTTTTAAGGCACTAGCCAGGCTGTGTTTGAACTGGGTTTCTCCAGCCTCAGCCTCCCACAGTGCTGGGATTATAGGTGTGCACCACCACATCCAGCTAGAGTCAGCTCTTCTGCTCATTAATCTGCCATTTAAATTTTTTAATTCATCAAGTTTTATCTTCATTACCTCCTGCATTTAAAAACATGTTTTTTCCTGCCTCACATGGCTTTGCTGTACAAAACATCTTAGAGAAGTGGGGTGAGCAGGCAACCCACTTTCTCGTCCCCCTTTTGTCTCTCTTAGACAGAGGCTTTCTTTCCCTCAATAAATTTTTCCTACTCTTAAAACAAAACACGCCAAATTTTTGTCCTATTCCCATCTTTAAACATTTTTTAATTAATTAATTTTGAGACAAGATCTCATTATGTAGCTGAGGCTGGTACCAATCTCACAATCCTCTTGCCTGCCTTTCAAGATCTGAGGTGACAGGCGATGCCTACCATCCTGGCTCTTTTCCTAATTTCTTGAGTTGAATGTAGAAACAAATAATTCCACTGTTTTATATTTGCAGATGCTCCTCAATTTACACTGGGTTTACATCCTGATGAACCCATTATAACTAAAAAAACTATAATAGAACTTTCATTAGGTCAGGGACTATGCACATATGTGTGTCTGTACAGAGTACATGTATTGCAATTTAATTTTTCCTATTTCCTTCAGGCTGTTTATGTTCCTTTCAAAGCAGTGTATATGGAAACCCTTTGGACAACCTGAATGAGAGTGCAGGGATAGTTGGGGGACAGGCAGGGACAGTTAAGGACCTCGGGGAGACTTCTGGCAAATAAAGACAAACCCCTGCTAGAGAGAATATAGGTAAGGAAAACAGAGAGAGCTGATAAGGCTGGTGTGGCTCACTTCATGCCAGCACCGAACTTCCTCTTCCCTCCACCTCCAGAAAAGTACAAAAGAAACAAAGGCACGGAGGGGAGTGAGGGTTAGGGGTAGGGACAACTATAATATAAAAACTCACTTAGTATATAAAATATACACTAACATCTAAACAGTCACACACCCATATACATAAGAACATATATGTTCTCTTAATCTCACCACATTAATACACTGAAATGCACATGTATCCTTTTTTACTAACTCAGCCTTGAATGTAACTCTGTGGTAAATCTTACAAGATAAGCACTGCATAGCACAAAGAAACCAAAGAAGTGCTTATCTGAAAACATACACACAGGCAAATGATTAGGTAAGTAGGTATGGTACCACACGCCTACAAATCAAGAATTTGGGAGGCTGAGGCAGAAGGATCATGAGTTCAAGGCTAAATAGCAAGTTAAGAAAATAGAAAATTCACCACCACCTTGGGCTACATCCTGATAGCCTGTTTAAAAGAAGAAAGAAAAGAAAAGAATGAAAAAACCAAGTTGGTGGAGAAATAAGACCATGGCTAAAAACTATTCTTACTGGTCACGTATGGTAGAGGAGAGAACAGTGTT